TGTTGACCCTATATTCATGAGGCAATAAAACCTACCAACAGCCTGTTGTTTTTAAAATACTCAGCCACTTCTCAAAGACAATATAGTTTTTGTTTGGGAGCAAGAAGATCATTAATTAGGAAAGCTTTTAAAGGAAGTTTTAGTATCATTAGCAAAAGCTAATGGGAAAATAAATTAGGTTACAAAATCTGACACCAAGTTTGGAAAAGAAAGGCACTAAAAATCCTTATATGTCCCAAGAATAGCACACTTCCCCACAGACCTCTATAATCACAATAAAAAATTGAAATTTCCTCCATTTCTTGTTGCCTTTTGAGTTAGATACACATTGCTGCCAAACACTGCAGTCCCAGAGATATAATCTGAACCAACTTTGTTCACCACTCCAACTCCACCCCAGTGAAAATACCCTTAGGAACACAATCTAACAACCTGTTCTTCCTAATTTGCTTTTTTTATCTGAGAGCTTTTTCAAGAACAGTAAAACTCAGGTAGAGTTGTCCTGTTGTAAATTCCTGTGTGAATTCTTATTCCTTGAAGGAAAAACAAATTTTCTAAATATTTTGAGATTCTGTTTAAAAAAAAAAAAATTAAATAATATGCTATGAAATGTGGCCTAAAATATTTTATGGCTTGGAGGAAAATTTTCTTTTCCCTTGCCCTGGATGCTTTGCTCAGAGACGCCACAATGTCTGTCAAACAATTGTTGCATACGAAGGAAGGCACATAATGACATTGTCCATTATTTCAACCATGGCAGCTGAGGAATTATGAAAGATTTATACCTATTTTATATTAAAACTATTTAGCAAATGTCACATAGCACAGCAAAAAACCATGAGCACGTTATTGAGAGGGCAGCAGGCTCAGCACAGAGCCCTCAGGATGCCCAGCCAGAGCACACTCTGCAAGCAAAGGGTTTGCAGGGCCATAAAACCCTACAGTGACATGGCCTTCTTCTGGTTTTCTACTTAGAAAACACAGAATTTAAATATTATATAATTTAAAAAGGAAGTAAAATGAAATATTAATAGCATTACAAAAATTGGAAAATTAACTTGGCAATTAAAACTGCAACAGCTCAGGACATGCTACCCTCGTTCCTGGACAGGCTGCCTAATTTAAACAGAAGATGCATTTTTCTCTTCTCTTTTGCTTCAAGCTTTGCTTCTATGAGAAGTCAAGTAATTAAATTGCCAGGGGAAGAAATTTTCCTCTTCAATACCTTTAAATTTGTGTAAAGCAAAATTGTACAAAATGCTGATGCAAGCCCCAGAGGGAGTGTGGAGCCCACCCCTGGCAAGGCCACCTTAAATCCACCCCGAGCTGCTGCTGGCTCTGGCTGTCCCTGGGATGCACCAGGGCCCAGGTTCCTCCTGCTGGGATGGAGTTTATCCACAGGAAATAAGAAGGGAACATTCATGCTCAACTGCTTAATGGGAACTGACGTGGCCTCTCCAGAGAGGGAGGAACTTTGGATGTCAGGCAGGTTAGCACAGGGCAAGCAGACGGTCAATAAAATATTCAATAAAGTACTCTGATATGATAGATCTAATATTGTGGAAAAAGCCAGAATTCTTTTTTTTTTTTTTTTTTTTTTCCATTTTTTTGGTGATAAGACATGCTTAAAATGGTGGTTTAAATGGTCTATACAATATTAACCTCCTAAAGCTTGAAAACAATTGTGGCTGGGTTAACTAAAAGCTTGTGCAGCATATGATACATTTCTGGGCATGGGTAAAATGGGTAATTCAGAATAAGGGCACTGAAGTTTTTACAAAATCTGTTAAAAATTATCTCAAACCCAATCTTTAATTAATAAAAATAAAAAGAGTATCTAGTGATCACCAAATCCACAGGATGCTCAGGAAAACAGGCACAAACCTCCCTCAGGATCCCAGCAGAGATCCTGACCCGAGTCCCAGGGCTTGCTCCTCTCCTCGCCAGCAGATCCAACCTGCTGCTCACTTTCCCAAGCAGGATTCCAGCTGGATTTCCCCTCTGAGAAACTCTTCCCCCCCAGCTCTCCATGCCCTGCAGTTTTGCCCCCACAGCACCAGGCTGGAGGGGGTGGTAGGAAAGCCCCAGAGGGGTCAGGGAGCAGCCAGCCGTGAGCAGGGAATCCCTGCAATCATTCTGATGAAGCTAAATCTTGGGAGTTTACATAAAAGGAAAATTAAATCAAGCACTGGAGTGGATTGGAAAGAAATGCACCAGGAGATGGATAAAGTTAATCACGTTTAGTGGAGGCTGATGCTGACCTACTCAGCCTTGCCTCGGAGATCCCCTGCACTTGCTGAAGTTTCATTATTTGGGAGCACAGAGCACAGGGCTGTGGCAGCTGCCTGAACTCCTGCAGGGAAATCCCACCTCAGCCCTGCAGCACCACTGCTGAGATGGGAATGAAGAGAGGCAGGGCTCTGCACTGTCATCTGGGGATTCCCAGAGTCTGGCCCTGTCCTTCAAACCCTGCACTCAGGGAAAAACTTCACCTCAGTGAAATGGTGACAGCAAAATTTCACTGTTACATCCTAGCAGTGAATCACTGGGGTTGGAAAAGCCCTGTAAGATCACCAAGCCCAACTGCTCCACTGCCAAAGCCACCAGGCACCCACGTCCCCAAGTGCCACATCCACACATCCTTCAAATCCCCGCTGGGATGGAGACTCCACCACTGCCCTGGGCAGCTGTGCCAGTGCTCTGACATATTCACAGGAAGCCCAAAGTCCCCTCAGTGGCCTGGCAGGAGCCAAAATTCTGGCACACACGAGCTGCTGGGTGTTTTGGGGATTTACTCAGCCCATAGGGCCCTGTGTTGACTATTGGAATTCTAGCTGACATTTATAATTTAAGAAATTGAGTTGTATTTCTCAAAAGGTAGTGCTGGGGCAAATGTATCCTTTTAACACTTTCTGCTTTAACCAGTATCAGCTACACAAACCATGCAGTCTCCTGATGAAGGAGAAAAGATTAGGATATGAATCTGTCAAGTTTGGAATATTTTTTTCTGTATAGCTCTGTTAAATCACTGAGGACAGTAACGCTTCAGTATGTTCTGAGAATAGCTCATTTGTTCTTTATTTCAGTGTTACAGAAAAGATTATTTGCAACTATTCACTTCCTTACAAAATATTCAGATTCTTCAATGAAAAGCGTTTCCCACATTGTGGAGCCACCCACACAGCTCCATTTGAACATGAATGAAAAGCTCTGCTTGATGCTGCTGAATATGTTAACCTCTCCTGGATCCCCAGCCCTGCTGAGCCACTCTGCTCGTGCATCTGCACAAGGAGCAGTGTGGAAAACAAGCTGGATTCTGTTGGACAAATAAAGACAACAAAGGCATCAGATGATTATGACTGAAATATCCTAATCTGTGCCTCAAGTTGTTTCATTTCTGGCAAACTAACCCTGAACTTCAGCTTACTAGGAATTAATTTTAATGTGCAACAGATCATAATTAGTAATGGGATATGCAACATTTTCCCTTCCACTTTGGGCTACTGTTGTCAGCTTTGCCCAGTTTTAACTCAATCAGAAACCATCACCAGTTAATGACCAGTTCGTGGTCAGTGTGAAGCAGCCTGGTGGTTGAAGTCCTTTCCCCAGCCACAGTGTCACAATGAGCACTCACAGAGCAAGCTAAACCAAGTTTTTGAGGGAACATTTGTTCCAATCCTTGTGTCTTTGTTAGAAAAGTGCAGTTTGCACTGTAGTGCTGCTTTTTGAAATGTCACCTTGGCTTGTCACCACCCTGACACCCCAAATCAATTGGTCACACACAATCATTGTGTGTGATGCTCAGTGAGGACAGGAGGGGCAGGGCACTGCTGGGTACAACTTACAGAGCAAAACTCTCAGAGCAGCTCCTTCTAAACCAGCAAAACCCCCTGTGAGCCCCCTCCCATTTACTAAATGGCTTTAAACCTGAACTCCACCTCTGCTTTAGGCCTCATCTGCAGGAGGACCCTGTGGGCACACCAGGGTCACCAGCCCCGGCGCTGTCCCCACAGGACACCCAACATGAGCTCCTCCTGCACAGCCACCAGCAGGTACCTCCCCAGGAAACAAGGACATGGATCCATGGATTCATGCCAGGATGAACCCATCCAGAGCGTCCAAATAACATCAAACCCCCCTTGGGATTTGACCAAACGTTCTGCACTCTCTTGTTCTCCCGGTCAGGACATCAGCTCTTCCCAGCCTCGATTTCCTCCCCAGTTTTCCTGCTTTCCCTCTCTCATGCCTGAATGTGAATCCCAAGGAGGTGCAGGAGGCTGAGGTATCACTTTTGTTTCACTGGGAAATCCAACTCTTCCATCTGCCTCTCCCCTCCCTGCCCCATCTGGGGCCTGACCTGCAGCACCCGCCCGGCTCCTTTAGGGGATCACTAAAAGAGATGGCAAAGCTCTGAAGAAATTCAGAGGGAAAAAAAAAAATAAAAAGGGAAAAAAAAAAAAGGAAAGAGAAAGAAAGAGTTGCTCTTCTTTGAGAGCTGGCTGGAGTGCAGAGCTATCTTCATAAATAGACAGGAAACAGAAAAGACTAATGTTGGGCAGATGACAGATCCCTGAATTCAGTTAACTGGCCTTCAAGATATGAACTGTTCTATTAAACATAGAGGCATTATGTTGGTCATCCACTTTAAGCCCAAGAGTGATTAAAATGCTGGCAGAAAATAAAAACTGGCTATTGAAGAGCTTGCCCCGAGGTCCTAATTTCAAATCAAATTTTACAGCGCCGCACAGGAACAATGGCAGCCCAGTACTCCAAGTCTTCTTTTTGTCACTTTGTACAAAGAAACCCCCTCAAACTCTCTCAAAGAACAATGGCCCCTCTAGATTCACAACTACGCCAAGAATGGGCTCAAACCATACAAAAACACATTTTAAAAATACATTTTACACTGCCCTTGACATTTGAGATAAATAGAAGCCAATGCATTGCAATTCCAAGTATTTTTTATATCTTTTCACAATGTAAATTTTTTATTTTCTCCAGTCTACTTGATCTTTGACATTCTGGCCTCTGCAAGAGAAGGACACAGCAGAGCAGTCAAAGAAATTAATTATGCAGATAATTGCATTTTATTAAAATGATTACTGTAGCAGGGAACACCACAAATGACAGCAACACGGCCCTGGCCCCCTGAAGAAATCAAGAGGACACAAACAGTTCATTTTTAATTGAAAAACTTCTCAGCTATTAACATTTAATTATCTGTTACCGATATATGGCACTAAGTTCAATTAGCATTTTGCTTTGCATCAGGTTGGCTTCTCAGTAAAAACCCTCTCTTTTATCCTGCTGCAGATTCCCCCTTCCTACAGCCCAAGTTTATGTGAATTTGGCAGCCTGGAAACAGCCAGTTGTTTCCTAGTGAACAGCACACAAGACCATATGTTTCAACATTTAAGCAATTGAGAATCAGAGGTATAATTCTGAGTGTCCTTAGCAGAAATTGTACATTAAATACCCAAAGGATGGGAGCTCTGCAAGATATCCAGCCTTTTTTAGCACTTTTCCCATAGCAACAAAACCACTCCACACTACTTGTATCATGCCCTGGAACCACAAGCATGTGGAAGCAGTGCTGAGCTGGCTGCAGTGCTCTCAGTAGCAAGGGACAAGCAACTGGATCCTTTTCCTTTTCTCTTTCCTGCACCTCTCTGCCATCAGGATTCATCCCAAATTCCTTCTGAAACACACCTGTGGTCAGGATTTGTACTTTCTTTCTTGATGTGTGGACATCTATTTGAGAAGAAGTCATTAATCAGTAATTTCTTTTGCTAAACACGTGCCTTGGGTTGTTCTCTTAGTTTCTGGGGTGATGGATATGACCAGAACTATGGATTTAAATCCAGATATAGCACATCCAGCAGGATGGTGCTGGTTTGTCTACTCTGCTTCTCCTGGTATCAGGTCACACAGCCTCCAAACTGCACAAGATTCTTTTAAAAGCATATTCAGAGAGCAACAAAAACTCACCAAATCCTGAGAGGGCTCACATCAGTGAACCCATCAGTAAATATTCATTGTTCTAACCACAACAACTGGAAAAAAAGAGAAGGAAAACGACAATCCAAGATTAAAATTCAGTGATAGCTGCTGGTTGGAGGACAGGCAGGAGTTTATCCAAGAGCCCCAGGATGGGAGGGAAGCCCTGCAGTCCCTCACAGTGCTGGGGATCACGGGGCGAGCACGGGGCTCCTTCCTCATCCTCATCCTCATCCTCATCCTGGGCACACAGACCCACCCCTCAGCATCTGACACTGACACTCACTTATTCCTTGATTTTTCACACCCAGCCTGAAGAGGGAATCAGTTTTTCCAGTGGGGATGCAGGAGTGCCCTGCTCTGGCAGCCAGGGACTGGCACTGCTGCAGCCTGTGCCTCTGTGGGGCTGCAACACACTCAACATGGCTTTTATTCCCTTCCTTTTCCTTTTTTCCCATCCCACATATATGGCTGGGAACTGAAGTAAATGTTCACTTACTTGAATTTATTTAATTTGCATGAAATAAATAAAAATTTACTTCAGTATTCAAACCCATTTCTTCCTAGCTTTCATCATAACACTGGCATTAAATAACAGACATTACATTAATAATTATAATTTCTAGACAAAATGTGTTTTCAAATATTTTTCATCAGTATCTAAAGCTTGTTTTCCTTTGGCAAAGGTTCTTTCTCTTATTTTGACTTGGTAGCCTGGCACAGAAAATTCCCTTTGAATGCCTGAGTGATTCTGAATGATTAAAACAAGCAAACAAACCCTCCAGAAATAATTCCATTTGTGGGTATTTCCTTTAACAGCATTAATAATCTAATGCATTTAAAAGGAAGATTTAGAATTCTAATTCACTTGTATTTCACAGGATTAAAAATGCAATATATGTAATATAGCCACGGGACAGAAACAGAACCAGATCAAGGAGGTATTTCAACAATATCCATTCCTGTTGTGCAGGAGTTCAATGTCAACACCTCTCCAGGTCATTTAAATTTTACTTCACCAACCTGCAAAATGTAAAGAAAACATTTATTTTCCAGACAGACCTGAAAATATACATTCAGTGGGATACAGCTTAAAGAACAAACTGATCAGGACTAAAAAGAAAACTAAGTTCTCATTTGGAACTAGATTTAAATCTAATACCCAGTCCTGAGTGACCTGTACACCCAATAGAGGACACAACCTGCCCTTAATGTCTTTACCTTTTGCACCATCAATGGCCAATTTACAAAAAATATCCTATAAAAGAGCTCTTTTTATTTCCTTACTCTGAGACACCAGAGAGAAACGATATTTCAGAATGAAGAACACTGAAAGGGACTTTTTGTAGGCCAGCATGTCTGAAACTAGCAGCATTTGCGATAGGAATGATAAAAATGGTAAATAAATGTATGATTTAGAAGGAAAAGAGGGCTCAGAGAGGAATTCCCACTCCTGGGAGCATCTGGCTACCTGGGCAGGAGGAGCCCGTGTGCCCTTCCCCAGGCAGCCCAGGTTACTCTTGTCTCCTTTTCTCCCTAGAAATTCCACCCTGACCCTGAGAAACTGTCATCCAAACCAGGCCATTTCCATGAAACATATCTCCACTGTGAAAACATTTAATGAAAACATTCCCATCCCATTCTAATTTTAATTTGCACTAAGTTTCAGTGCAAAGACCAGGCACAGCTGCTTGATTTCCTTCTCCAAAGCGCCCTGAGTTTCAAGTTCCCTACCCAAAACATGAAATTAAATCTGTGGGACTTCAAGGCACATGAGGCAAATTAGCATTTAGGAAAATTAAGTTTTTAATGAAATAAAAATGCCACTTAAATATTACTAGACTCTTTGGGTATATCTAATAGTGAGGGTACTAAATAAAGCCTTTACAAGAAAAAAAAATGAACACTGAGGGAAAATAGGACTGTTATTTTTAACACTGATAATTTTGTTTAAAAGAAGATTCCTTCCTGTGTTTCATCATTTTACGTTATGCTCTATTATAGAAACTAATGTGGGAAAAAAAGTTCAGAAAAATCCAGGCCCAGAATATTATGGAAAAAAGAACCACCAAATGTAAAGGTCCTGTAATATTTGGTATCTTCAGATTTTTCTGCACTGGTTCACATGACCCCCAATTTATTTTTAGAAAGGCAGCAATTCCCACTTGGACACGGTGCAATACCTTGTACCCAAATGTTGCTTTGCACAAATAAACCATAGAAAGTGTTGACTTAAAAATAAAACATTGGAAAAGGAGAAAGTTTTTTTTCTCTGCGAAAATTTCCGGAAAAGCTGTAAACAAAGGCAGGTTTGGCTCGGTGGTTGAGTGGCTCTGTTGAGCTGTTGAGGATGGAGAACATATCAAACCTCACAGAGTGAGGAAATGTTTGTAAAACAGTTAGTAAATCATAGGCAGCAAGGTCACCGTGTTTAACAGCGGGAATGACACTTTGCCAAAAGCCCAGCTGGGAAAGGGCGGGGACGCTCACGGCTCCTCGCTCCTCCAGGATTCTTCCCATCCCCAACTTCATTTAAAAATCACATCAAACTCTTGGAAAGCAGGAAAACCCACAGGGTTTCAAACTGAGGAGCTGTGCCAGGATGACACACTCATCAATTGGATCATTTCAACACCTGGTTCTGTTTCACCAAACAGAGCCTGAGCTGTGAAATCATCAAGAAATTCTCTGTAAATTGATGCTGCCTGACCTTTTATCTCAGGGATGGAGCTTTGAGCTCTTGCTCGAAATTCCTACACAGAAAGAACCCCGAAAATTCTGAGAACTGGCACAGCCAGAAGGTGAAATCACACATTTTTAAACACAGACACTACAAACCCCCGTACGAACAGCAAGAGTTTAACTCATCTGGTGCCAAAAAAGCCAGGAAGGGTTATTTGGAGTTGAAAAGTTGTCATGCAATCACTCCATAATATGGAGAGATTTATGGAATGACTCACCTGCTACCGTAGGACCCAAAGCCTGTCCTGGTGCTGGCAGGGAATGCAAAGGAAACACTTAAGCACATACTTGACTTCAGCTCTCTCATGTTTGAGTTAAGCATGGACCTAAGTGCTCTCCTGGACTGGGGCCTATATGCTGGACAACCATGATTAAAAAAAATTCCTTCTAAATTTCTTCTATGTGACATCTGTGTTAAAATGCTGGGGTTTAAATGACAGTTTATGATGAATTTTATCAGTGTCCTGTCCCTCTCTTCACCACGTTATGAGACCACACAATCAGGACTGAAGGAAAAAAAGTTGGTCACAGTGATGGAAACACTTTTTGCTTTTTGAGAAGAACCCATAGGGCACTACTCCTTCCTTTAGGTGGCAGAAAAGGGACACTGCAGTTGGAAGGAGCACTGTTGGTAGGGGAGAGATTAAATAAGAAATAATTTGCTCAGTGCCTGTTAAACCATAGGTAGGAACTGCCCCATGAAGCCAGTGAAGTTTAATAACAAAGTTAAATGTTTTCCTGCTTCCTAATGGAGGAAAAAGAAGGAATAAAGAAATATTCCATTTGAAAGGGGCAGTTTTTTTCTTTTACCCTTTCTGCTTTGCACTATGAATTCTTTCTTTTGGTCTCAGTCTGCTACTTTTTGTATAGAGTAAAATTTTCCGTTAAAATGACTCCTGAATCCAAATTCTACATCTTTTGGACAAACACAGTGTGGTTAAAAGGGTTTTCCTTATCACCAACCCAACCTAACCAAATTCTTAACAATTTTTTTGGTGTTTTTGGGGGTTGGTAAACAGCTAAAGATTTAAACTTTGCCAATAAAACACACACTGACCTTAAAGGCACTTCTAGCCCTGCAGCCACCAGTGGGCCACCACTGAGTTCCACTGGGCCACCACAAAAGCCCCCCTTTGCCAGGGGGCTCCAGTGCAGCTGTGCATCTGAAGTGTCAAGGAGAAGGAAGGAAATGACTTTTAGCTACACTCAAGTTATTATTTTCACTGGTTTTGCTGCTTCAAACCCAAAGATGACTACTAAGGAAAAATATTCACAGGGTAAATTTCAGCCAGGGAAGTGCTAAAGACTAATTAAGGAGTGAAGTTACATTTATAGGAGACTTGTAAGGACCAAGTTAACACCAAATAATAAAAAACTGAGGCCAACATTATATATATGCACACGGCAAAGCAGTAATTCTTCTGACACTACATTTAGAGAAACAGGAGTTTCTATGTGAATATGATCATATTTAACACAAACTCTACAATCAATGCAACATTAGGAAGAGGAAATTTATCCTAAAGGAAAGGAAAAGGAGAACACCAGAGGTTAGGTTAGTACTACATAAACCTGAGAGTGACTTAAAATAATTAAGCCATAGTAGTGCAACTTCAATCATTTCACCTGCTCTGTTTTAAGAAAAGAGACTTTCTTAAATGGAAAATCCTACAGGGAACTGATGGACCTGACTATTAATTAACCAGTCCTGTACGTTGAACATTTCCATTTGGTTAATCTTCTGGAAAGGAATTACTGTTTCATTTTATGAAATCTTCTTATTTACTCATTCCATGAAGCTTTGGGCATGTCTGCTACTGTGTAGTTTATTTTTCATTCTTTTCTTCTTCTTTGGTCCTTCCTGGTCAGGTTTTGGTCAGTACTATGGATCAGTTGAGCAGTTCAATGAGATTAAATCAACAATATGTTTTAAACTGCCAGTACATAAGTTAAATTTTACCTCCCTTAATCCATCTTATGTGCTTCAGAATTGTGCTCCAAGAACCAGAGATATTAATTAACAGACAATAAATGCACTATTTAACAGCAACAATGTCTGAGGAAAGCTCTTGCTGCCTGATATTATTCTGTTTAGCACACAACCCTTCCTTCCAACTTCTGCATTTGGAATAATCTTGGATATTCATCTGGGATATTCTTGTGCCTCTCCTGTCTCCAGGATATTTAGGGACTATCCCAACCCTCCCCATCTCCCAGGAACTGGAATTTGTTTATTTGTGACCAACGAGGCTAAAACTGTCCTGAAATACTCTTCAAAAGGGCCTGGTGGGGCTCAGACATTCCCATGGAGTCCTGCTGTTCCAGGTGCTGGCTGCTCCTCGTGGAGAGGCTGGAGATGATTGCTGTTCTCAGCCCAGCTCTGCATTTCCCTTGGCTCAGCCTCAAGGAACATTTCCCTGCTCGCCCTGCTCCAAGCACCACGTTTGTTACAGGGAGAAACAATCTGACTTGCTCAGGTTTTTCCAAGGTGGATTGTGTGCCCTGGAAGAGAAGTTGATTTGAGCTGGATTCTGGACTTGGAATTATTCAAGCACATCCTGTGGATGTCACCAGTCCTGGACACCCTACCAGTCACTTCATGGAATAGACTTGAAATACTTTAAATTTGCTCTCACCTTGCTCTCTGCTTCTATCAAACAGTGTAAAGAAACAAATTTACAATAATTTTCTCACAGCTGGTCCAACCACTGTTACTTCCAAGGGTTTCCAGCAATAAGATTGCCACCCTCAGACTGTATCTTACACATATTCAGCTTTATATACTTCAGTTTTTGTTGTCCATCTGAATTATTATTTTGTAAACAGAGAGCCTTCAATGCAGATGTCTTAATGAGCAATTTTGGGTTTCAGCACAATGCATGCCTCTGTTTTTAACTCGATACACCATCACCATCTACTGCTTTAAGCTTCTTGTCCCATTCACACTCCACACTCCAACTACTGAGCTCTGTTTCACAAAACTAAACAAGTTGGCACCTGAGAAAATTACCCCTGTCAGGACAGAAGTCCAGCAAAAATCTTCAGAAGAAACAACACTGCTTGGCTTTGATGGAACCCTGTTCTCTTCTCCCCTCCAAGGCCGAATTTCTCATGGAACTCACAGCCTTGTACCTGAGCTCATCTTCCAAACCCCAGTTAAGAAAGGCAAGAGTTAAGAGAAAAAATAGAGAAAGCAACCACAAAAGAAATCAAGCAGCTTATTAATACTTCTATTAATCCTTCTGCCAATCCTTTATGGAATTAGAACCCCTCCAAACTATACTGGTTTTTATATTCTGATTTTTACGTGCATTCTTTTAAGCTGTGTAAGTCTCAATGTATGTTTTTCACTTTAAAAAGTCAAATGACTGTATCTGTGTAAAAATATGTAGTAATTTCTTGAGTAAATGCATTCCTAAGTGGCACTGCAAAGCCAATTCAGCTTCCCCCATACCCTGGGTGCTCATTTCTATTTAAAACCAGCCCTCTTGCACCAGTGCCCTTATCTCCAGAGGAGATTGCTGGACAAGCTGGTCGGTGTTTCCAATTTCCTTATATAACAAGGCTCCAATGTCAGGAGGAAGTGGGCAGATACTGGGAAATCAGGGTGGATAAAAAGCACTAGACCCGTAACCCCTGAGGTCAGGAGGTTACGACTTCAGGGCCCAGCAGTAAGGTGGAAGGATGTGTTCAGGTAGTTTTAAATTACCTTGTTTTACTGCTCTTTTCCAAGAGGAAAAGAGATAAGATCAAATCCAGAAGATTCATATCGCCCACATGAATATATACACGCAGCCAACACAAGCTTTACCTCTTATTTCCCACTGTAAATAGTCTCAATGCTCAGAGGTTGAAAATTCTTCTCTCCCCTGCTGTGTGATTTCACAGTTAGAAGAGCTCAGTGCTGCCCAGATATCGAGAGCTTTCTTAACCCTCCTGCCAATAACTGTTCACAGAACCAAAAGATGAATCTGTGTGACCCCAAGTTGGTTTCCAAACCCTGACAGGCTCGGGGACAACTGCAGATGGAGAACAGAGCTTCAGCCACACGTGAGGGACTTTATGCACTGCACGGGCAGCAGACAGCACAGAAATCCTCTCCCCAGGAATGAAGGAGTAGTGAAATCCCAGTTTGCAGCTTGGATGCTCGAGTAATGACATCATGACCATCAAAGAACCGGCACTACTGGTCAGGATGGCAGGAAACTAAAGTCAGAATACAAAATTCATGAGCACAAAACACAACAGCAGCAACTGTGGAAGGCCTTCCCTGACATCACCGTGTGGATGGCAACGATGCTGAAGGAAAGAACATTTAATGCCAAGGGTTTGGCTGGGCAGATCAAAACATGCTAAGAGGATGGGTACAGGTAAAAGCAAATTGTAGGAAGAACAAACTGTATCTGTGATTTAGACCTCAAAGCCACGACCAGCAACTTCTTTGTCTCTCCTGTTGGATCTGATGATATGAACAGTCAGAAAACATGAACAGAGCATAAATCTTCACATGATTCTTCAATCTGTCTACAAATGACCATGACATTACATATAAACTATTCCCTGGAATATATCTGCTCCCCTTTGAAAGAGTTAAGGAGTGTATCAGACACCGTGATAAACACAGAAAACCCAGCGTGAATACCAATAAATGCAAGCCTTCCGTCTCGGAAACTCTTCACTTATTTGATTAAGTTAGGTGAAAAACAGAGCAGTCATGCTTGTAGCTTTTCTTCCTTTTTCCTTCCCTCCACTCTTTTTATTCCTAATGCGAATCGGAAGTCTATGTGGAGCAGCCTGGCTACCCCCGGTCTAACCTCCCCATCTGGAAGGGAACTAACCAGCCTTGGGGCTACTTCCAACCCTTCCCAGCTGTTGGCTTTGGGTTTTTTGTTTTTGCGGGCTTGAGAAAGCATATTTATATAAATGATTGCCATATCCTTTGCCAGCTGTTGACCCTGCTCTCGGCCCGGTTGGGGCATGTTTTTCATTTCTGGCGGCCGCAGACTGGGGCTGACCCTGGCGGAGGCAGCACGTTATGCAAACAGCTTCACGCGCCCCGGCCCGAGCTGCAGCACAATGGGTGCCCAGTGCTGCCCCGGTGTTTCCCTCTGGGCTAAAATCCCCCCAGCTCTGAGCTGGGAGCAGCGCTCAGGAAAAATAAATGATGAGATTCACAGTGCTGGCCCGAGCCTTCCTGTCCCCGGCAGAAGTGCTCAACGCTTTCAGACACTCAAAGTTGAACAAAAACACACGTGGAGAGGCATTTTCATCTCAGATGCACCTCCTGTTAGCAGAAAGGTTAATGGAAACACACGTGGGAAGGCTTTTTCACTCGGCCACCTCTTCTTTGGTAGCAGAAAGTTTCCTGAGCTGAGCTGTCAAAACATCCTGGACTGGTTTTTCTAGACGTGGTTTTCCTCATGTGGAACTTCACTGATGGATCTTCACTGAAGTTCTTGAAAAACTGAAGCTAAATAACAACAACAACAATAATAATAATAAATCACAAGGTTCTACTCCAATAATTTCAAACTTTTAGCTCAAATGCATCTGAGAAGGAAAAACACCTTCTCCATGTCCCAAAGCACTGCTCGGAGCGCATCCGTGTTTCCCTATCACCTGCAGCAATGCTGAAACAGAAGTTTTGAATTCCATTAAACAATTGCTCTGTGAAAAAGGAATTCTCTCAACAAATCCTTCTGAAGCAACAGCAGCCACTCACCTTGGCTGGCACCTCACCAACCAATACTGCTGAAGTTAAATGGGACACAGACAATGAACTCCAGCCAGCCCTTCCAACTTTCATAAGCATTATCAGATTTTTTGATAATAAGTAGAGGTGGCATATGTGTTCTGTTTAGTATGCAGAAGAGCCTCATTTTATTCTCAATGCACAGATTTAATTAAAAATAAATTTACTGTTAACGCTTAAAGTGGTGCCAAGATTATCCAAACAGAAGGTTTATGATACTTAATAATTGATAAGGGGAGGGAAATTCACAGATTGCAAGTGATTATTATTTAGCAGGTCTGTTTGCAAAGGTGAAAGTGGAATTACAGCCAGCCAAGAGAGGAAAAAAAATTCTTTAAAATTTGTAGAGTTGGAAAAATTTGAATTTAGCACTTTGTGGAAGCATTAGGAACGAAACCGATTTCAGATCCTGACAGTTTGAGCAACTACTCTGGATAATATTGAAAATATTCAAAGTGTTTTCTCAAACATCAGCTTCAGCCCAAATCCACACAAGGGAGGGGTTATTTTATCTTTTTTTTTTTTTTAATTTGGACACATACAGGAGATCAGCTTCTTTAAGGCGCTGATTCTCCGCTTGGATTTCAAACCAGCTTTAGCACAATGTGCCAGAAATTTCCACAAGTGCTGAGAGAATTAACTGATGGGATCTTTGAAGCCTCTCTATCCCAGATTAACTAATGCAAAATCTGTGAAATCACAGTTCAATCTTCTTTTTTTCCTGGCTGGATGTGTTTGCAGCAGCCAGGATGACAAGATGCTCCCAAGCCATCTGGCCCCTCGCACAGGATTTGATTCAGAAAATTAATAGTAACACCATTGGTGTGCACAGATTGCAGCAATCCAGACACGTAGGCCTGTTACACAACCCAGCCTTTTGTAACTCCCCCATAGGTTACACACACTGAGAACACTGAAAAGATTTCCATAAAATCCTGTGAGTAACGAGGGAGAAATTCCTGCAAACACCGAGCCCGGGGCTGCCCTGCTCTGGGCAGGGAACTCACTGGTTCTGTGGGGAAAAGATGGACTTTGAGCCCTCCCTGCAGAACAAAAAGGGCAAAAAATATATTTTTTTTCACTTTCATGTATTATGCAAATATAATGTTTATAAATAATGCAGCCCCCCTGCTCTCAATAAGTGCTACCTCGCACGTATTGGCCGAGGAACTAAATCCTTCTTTTTGGACTATCGCCCTCCACCCATTTTCATGGATGAGCAAAGGCTCTGCTGGAGGCAAGCTGCAAGTTTTATTTACAAACTAAATTCTGAACATCCAAACAACAGGGCTGGGAGAATGTAAAGGCAGCTTTGGGCAACTTTGTCTGCACAATCCAGAAAAAACCCTATTCTGTATGGAAAAGAAAAGCTTTTTGGCAGAACAGCGGCTTCCTGGAAGAGACTTGGGGTTGGAGGAAACTTGTATAAATTATCTATGTTAGATAAATTGTGTATTAAAATGTTACTTAAAAAGATTATTTTTGTTTGGTTCAAGCTGAACATCTCACTATATTTTACATAATTCAAAGCTTATTCCCATTAAAATTCATTAGATCTGTGTATTCAAACCCACGAGGTACCTTTGGAAATACTGAGCTCGTGTTCAACTGCAACTGTGAATTTTCAGCTTTCTTTTAATGTTTCTAAACAGGGTTTTTGTGCTGCACCAGAGGCTGCCTGGCAGAGGAGGAGGAGAAGAGCTCCTGAGAAAACCCCGCTGTGTCAAACACACAGCAAAGATGGGAACAGAGGGAATTTCAAACAGGTACATCCACTCTCAGAGTGGAAAAGATGGGAACAGAGGGAATTTCAAGCAGGTACATCCACTCTCAGAGTGTGCCCTGCTGAAGGGATGTTGAGGCTGTACACGGCTCCAAACACAGTGTAACTTGTAAATCCAGGGAACATTAATGGGAACAGTTTTGTCTCTTTTACCAGCACTGATGGATTTCACCGCTGTGTGTGAAAAGAGGGGAAGCCTTGCACTCCTTGGCATGAATTTTTAAGCCCCTTGACGGATCCAGAAAGCACAATATACACAGTATATAATAAAAAAATGCCTTTGGAGCATTAAAAGCAGCAGCAGCAGCATCTATAAAAGGCAGGGAGGTGAGAGGTCCTGGGGGAGTTCTGCGCTCCCCGAAGCCTCGCGCTTGCAGTGGGTGAGCTCTGAATAAATAAGGCAGCACAGCCATCCCCGGGATATTTTGGGCAGCACTCCGGTGTTTTCCCTCTCAGAGCTCGTTTGGAAACACCTTCAGGGGAAGTGTTTTTGGAGGGCTGCACTTTCTCAAAGGCAGGTCCCTTCAACGTGCCGGGCTGCTCACCCCAAAGTACTCATCGCCGCTGCTAAACCCCATTTCAGGCTCCTGTGGGCTTGCACATTCCTTAAAAAACTGGCAGAAGTGGAAAACTTCACTTTTTTTGTTTTATAACAAGCCTCCACCTCATCAGTTCTGAGTTCAGGTTTCAATTACTGCAGCTGATGATCATTTTTATTCTCTGACGTGTTGGATTAGTCCGACCTTGTCCTGCTGAAGCCAATGGAGCACTCCCCCTTCCTCCAAACAGAATTAAGCCCTAAATGAGTAATTTTCTTTTTTTTTTTTCTTTTTTTAAGATCAGGAAGCCCATAAAACCATACACAGTTAGCTACAAAATGCACGAGACTTTACCCTCCCAAAAACCCCTAAAATTCAAACCCTAAAAAAACCTTTTACAGCCAAATTCTTTGCGATACAGAAGTTTTCCTAAGTCTGGAAGGTGCTGAGGCCCCTGCACGTCCAGGGCTGCTAAACTTAGGTTAATAGCTGATGACCCTTTCCATTCTTAACCCTGAGCTCTGACCTCCTGACCCACCCCTGGTGACGGTGTTTATAAGCGTGTTGCCACTGGTGTAAATAAAAAAGGAACACAATGTGCTGAAATTGTTACTGGTGATGACAACTGACACACATTTTACACCGCCAGTGGGCAAACCCATCAATAAATAACTCCAAATCTGGTGTTAATGTGCTCAGAGCTTCTTGCAGTGCTCGTGTCATTTGTGCTGGTTTTTCTTCTTTTTCTCAATTTTTGTGAGATAAGCAAAAGGTTTCCAATAAGGAAACAGACCCAAATTAAGGATAAGGTTTGCTATTAGCATCAGGTAACAGCTGGATTTTCTACCTTCCAAGGTACTCCTTCAATATGGAAAAACCCACAAAAATCTCCTGCACCACAGATCAAGCAGAACAGCCTGTTTTCCAAAAGCTTCCAAGTGAAAAGCCATGTGGCTCGTGATGAAAATAAAGGTTTTTGAAAATCCCTGGCTGTGGGGCACTGTGAAAACTCTAGTTCTTCATGCTGTCCACAAGTTAACCAAAACAAACTTTTAAAAAGCCAAAACCTATTGGAATGCTTTGTATAAAAATAAGACAAAAGTACAGACTCTAAAATTGCACACATGTCTTTAAAAAAATCCTTTGGGTTTTTTTAAATGAAATAATTTTTTCTAAGTTTTCTGAAAATTAAATTTCAATCCAGAATATAATTACAGAGCAACAGTTAAAATTTCCACTACATACAGCCACATTCTGCGATAGAATGCGAGTTCCTGTGATTGAAATTTGCCTTTTTTACTGAAGATACTGTACTGACAACTTAACTTTCTTAATTTATGTGAATTATTTCAAATTATAAATGATGTAGGGTACAAGGGCTCCTATTTGGAGTCCCCAGCCCCATCCCTCGGTCTGGCAGCCCCTGGCAATGGCTGAGATAAAAATACAGAGGGAAAACAAAGGGGAAGCACCAATCAAAAAATATCAGACAGATTTTAACATTTCCGAGTTGGAAATCTCCTGATCATCTCCACCAATTTGTCAAGGGGCTGTGAAATCCTGCAAAGGCCACTAAGAGCACAAAACCCACACCCCCTGGAAAACTGTGGATTCCTGAGAACTAGCTGATCAGGAAATGCAGGAAAATCTAATAGCAAAATGTAAGATTTTCTCAAAGTCCTGTCAACTAACATGCAGTATCTTGCATTTAATGGTGAGTAGTTAAAATCTTTTTTTTTCCCTTATTGTTTCTGCTACAATTTGATGAGGTAAAAGCTCCATGAACGTGTTCCTAAAGGAACAAGTTGTAAAAGTGATTCTAGTAGATGTAACAACCTATAAAATATGGTCAAATAACAGTCATCTGTCTTTCTCCAAAAAGAAAAATCAGATTACGTGTAATTGCAAAATCTAATTTACATTCCCCTATTTTCCATTTCAATTTCCACTTTTAGGAAATATTCCCTTGCTCCCAAGCTGTGCCTGTGCAGAAGATGCTGTGCCACGTTTCTAATTGATTCGTTTTACACTATCGAAAGGATAACAGTGATTTTGCAGGAGAATTCTTTCTGCCTTGCACACATCTCTCATTTGCCCATCTTAATTCAATTAAAGGAAGTAAGGACGGTTTGACCGATGAATGAACCATATTTTAGCTGAGGACATTTCTATGTAAACTGGAATATACCAAGCACTAATTCTCAGCCAGTTACTTCCGATCTGCAACTTTTATTTTGAAAGGTCATGGCTTGGTCACCGAAAAGACAGAGGATATTAAATGCTGGCAAGCACTGTACAACAGTGCAAAACTGCAGGCTGATATCAAAAGATTTTAAACTCAAATGCAATTTATATGCAAACAGTCTGTATTTATTCTTAGCTATCAGTAGCTGGAA